CCTCGTCCTCCTCCTCCTCCTCTTATTATTAGTGGTCGTCTTATGATTGATATATGTACGGTTCGTTTTCTTTTTCGTATTAATGTCAGCAGCATTATTCGTAGTAGTATTAGGATTCATTTTATTATCAGCATTTGTCTTATTCCTCCTCCTCCTCATCCTCCTCCTCATCATCCTCTTCCTCCTCCTCCTCCTACTCCCTCCTCCTCCTCTCCCTCCTCCTCCTCCTCCTCATCCTCCTCCTACCTACTCCCTCCTCCTCCTCCTCCTCACTCTACCTCCTACTCCTCCTCATCCTCCTCCTCCTCCTCCTCCTCCCCTCCTCCCTCCTCCTCCTCCTCATTCATCCTTCCTCCTCCTCCTCTTCCGCCTCCGCCTCCCGCCTCCGCCTCTGCCTCCGCCTCCGCCTCCGCCTCCGCCTCCGCCTCCGCCTCCGCCTCCGCCTCCGCCTCCGCCTCCGCCTCCGCCTCCGCCTCCGCCTCCGCCTCCGCCTCCGCCTCCGCCTCCGCCTCCGCCTCCGCCTCCGCCTCCTCCGCCTCCGCCTCCGCCTCCGCCTCCGCCGCCGCCTCCTCCTCCTCCTCGTCCGTCTCCTCCTCCTGAGCTTCCACGAAGGCTTTCCCCAACGGCTGGGGGGCACACTCCGTCCGACAGCGTGGCCGAGCTCTGACCACAGCGGTTTGCCACACAGGCGCCTCCAAAGGCAGGCTGCGGCGTTGGCTCGACTCAGACATGTTCGATGTATAGTTGTTTGGAATACGGTGGACGTCTCGCATGTTCGCGTTTGATTTGTTCGTGAGGCCTCGATAGCCCCAAGATCATCCAAGGGAGCCCCAAGAGGGCCCAGAGATACTCCAAGATGACTCCAAAGGGCCCTGGTAGCGCCCCAAGCGCGCCCTAGAGGGCCCAAGCCCCAGATAGTGATTCTTCCAGCTCCAGAGGGGCCGAGGCGCTAATTGAGCTCCAACCCCTTGTTGACCAATGTCCTCCAAGGTGGCCCTAGAAGGGCCCACAAGGCCCCCCGACAGGTCCCCAAGAGATCCCAAAATGCCTCCAGGGCTGCCCCAAGAAACACCAAATAATCTCACGGATCCGGAGATCCACACTCATAACACCTCCGCGGCCCTTGGGCCCGCGCCGAACGCAATCTTGGCGGCGCCCACAAGGGGGCGGCGCGAGGGGGGTTGGGCGTCTAAGAAAGCGGCAGGGTTTGCAAGCAGGGAAGCCACAAGGCACCGATACCGCTACTCTGTCGATGCCTCGCTCTCCTGGGGCGTTGCTGTGTTCTTGCGCGTTAACATGCGTCACGTGTGCGGAGCTACACTGTCAATGCCGGGCTTTCGTGTGGCTCTGCTGCGTTCCTGCTCGCAACGCACACTGCCAGAGGCGGCGGAGAGCTCTTAGAGATCCACCCACAAAAAAGGACCTCTCCAAGGGCGCTTTGCGATCAGAACCTCGAGGCGAGTCCAGCGGTGGCGACGAGGGCCTCCGAGACGGCCCAAAGAGGCGGAAACGAGGGAAGGGTAGCGGTATGGGCACCTGCTCCTCCTCCGAACGAGAAGGCAAAAGGGCTCTTAGAATCCCGCCCGGCTTCTAAGGAGCCTTCTTAGAAGCCCCCTTCTCAGAGTGCCCCTGCGCCACCCCATTCTTCTTAGAAAGCCGCCCCCGCGCGCCACCCCCTGGTGGGCGCCGCCAACAGCGACCGCAGCCGCACCTCCGCACGGCAACTTCCGTCGGCCTCCGCTCTCCGGAGACGCGGCGGGAGGACTCGGGCTCGAAGGCCCGCAGACTGGCACGACCAGCCCCACAGTCTCGCACCCCTCGGGCGCTCGTCAACGAGGAAGCCGGAAACGTGGTCGCAGGCCCAGAGGTTGACACCAACACCAAGATCGGCGGTGTGCCTCCACCGAGGGATGAAGATCCCGATCTCGGTGATGGTGGTAATATTCTGGCTTCCAAGGTGGCCGAAATATTTACCACCAACACCGAAATCTAAGATCATCTTCCCCCTGTGGAGGCAACCCCCTGTGTTGGTGTTGGTGCCCATTTCCAGGCCTCCGACGTGGGGTGAAGAGACACGTGCAGTTCTCCTGCACCCGTGGGGTCCGCAGCGGCAGCCGCGGGGCCCCTGCAGGGCCCTTCCCCGGCGGTCCTCGACCGCCCCCAATTGCGCCTGCTGCCCTGCCATGGCCGTCCGCCAGGCACCTCGAACCTCCCGAAGGGCAGATCTGGTCTACGCCCGGAACGGTGGTGGTGGCAAAGATGATTGAAGGGGCCCTGGGACACACAAATAAATACACACAAATAAAAAGGCTCCCTATACTTTCCCATATTTTCTGGGTTTTTGTCTTCCCGCCCAATTCCCATATTTTCCCATATTTTCTTGGGGATCGACGATTAATTGTGTCTGTGTGTTTTTTCCCCTCCTGAGCCGTGGCCGCCCGCCCGGCACCTCGAACCTCCCGAAAGGCAGATCTGGGCTACGCCCGGAACGGTGGTGGTGGCAAAGATGATGGTGGGCTGCAGTTCCGCCTCCCACATTTCACTGAGCAGCGCCAGGGCCTGCTGCCACTGCTCACCCTTCTCGCACGCGCTGATCCCAGCATTGCAGATGACCAGCCAGGGCTAACCCGCGGACTACATCCACTCGCGAGGGGAACGGGTGGTGCTACCAAGCTCACTCGATTAGAATGTGGCCGATGCTCGTTTTCCACATGTCGCTGAGCAGCGGGCACGCTGGGTGCGACTGCTTGCCCGTCACGCCTGGCCAGCGGGGGGGGAGGGGAAGTAGGCGGATGAGATACCGGCTGTTTTGGGGGGGGCGCGCGAGTTGTTGGTTTCCTTCTTCATTACATGGGGAGGTATTCGTCCAAGTGTCCCAGAGTCACCGGGCTCGCTCCACTGCTCGCAAAGTGCCTACCCGCAAACGTCCAGAAAAATATGTCTTCCTCTATGTAATGTATTGTAAATCCCCCGCGGCGGATGCGTGCCGCTTGCGAGTAGCTACTTTGCGAGTAGTGGAACGCGCCTGTCGACAGAGGGTGATCACGGGGCAGGCGGTTGCTGCTGGAGCGGGCTTGACATATTTTTGGCGTGCCGGGGGCTAGAACAAGAAAAAACGCCATAAACAGAAACTGCTGGCGCTCCGCGCGGATCTCTTGGATCCGCGCTGGGCCCCCCTCCCCCGGCGCGCGGAGCGCGCCAGGGGCGGCGCCGGAGGCGCCGCCCGGGGGGGGGGCCCCCGCGCGGACCCAAGAGATCCGCGCGGAGCGCCAAAAGCTGATGTCTGTGGCGTCTTCTCGTCTTCGAGGGGCGCAGCCTCGTCCTTGACCGGGGGGGGCTGGGCCGGCCGCGAGGGGGCCTGCCGGGGCCGGCGCGCCCCGCCTCCGCCCCATCCCCAGACGCAGCGCTGGGACGGAGCTGGGCCGCGGAGGCGGCGCGGAGTGGCGGAGGCCCGCGTTGGCGTATGTCCGCGGGGGGGGGGGGGTGCTGCGGACAGGCTCCTTCAACGCGCGGCCCGCGCCCTCCAGCCCTTCGCGACGTCTTGGGGCCTCCTCGGGGCTCTCTGGAGCCGTCTTGGTGCCGTCTTGGGGTCTCCTTGGGCTGTCGCGGCGTCCTGGGGGCCTCCTGGCCCGTCTGGGGCCGAGAGGCCGTCTGGAGCGGTCGAGGGTTCGAGCAGGCGAGCCAGGGTTCCTCTCGGGCCTCTCCTGGGGCGGGTGGGGGACTCCTAGGGGCCTCCAGGAAGCCGTCAGAGGCGCGTTTGGGGTCTCGGGCTCCTCTTGGCCCCTCCTGGGGCGTCGTTGGGGCCTTCTGGGGGTCTTCTTGGCGACCTCTGGGAGCCCGTCTTGGCGCCACCTTGCGCTGCCTTGGGGCCCTCTCGGGCTGTCTGGGGGCCCTCTTTGGGGCCTCCGGGGCCGTCTGGGGCCGATGTGGAAGGCCCCTGAAGCGGCCTGGAGCAGTCGAGAATCCCAACAGGCGAGCAAGCCAAAATCCGTCGAAAAGACCAACGGAAATCATGGAATGTTGCGTCTTCAGGCTCTCTTGGAGGTCCCCTTGGGGTTCTCTTGGCCCCGATTTGGGCCTCGTGGGGGCTCCCTGGGAGCCTTCAAGGGCACGTTGGGGGGTCTTGGGCCCCTCCAGGTCCATCTCGGGGCCTCGTTGGGACCGTCTTGGGGCCCTTATGGGACCCTTATGCCTTATGGCGACCTCTTGGGCCTTCTTAGAGCTCTCTGAGCCCTTCTTGGGGCCATCTTGCGCCGTCTTGGGGTCCTCTTGAAACGTCTTAGGGTCCCTCTTTGGGGCCTGTTGGGCCGTTTCGGGCCACTGCGGACCGTCTGGGGATGTGTTGGAGCCATGTCGGAGTGGTCTTGGGCCGTCTTGGAGCAATCTTCGGGCTGCCCTGGAGGCCAGCCAAAGCCATTTCAGGCCATGTTGGGAGAGTCTGGGGCGCTCTTGCGGGGGCATCTTGGACCCTTTCGCAGGCCTCTGGGCCCATCTGGGTCCGTTGACAATCTTGGAGTCTTCTGAAACCGTCTTGGCGTCATGTTGGGGCGTTCTGGCCGCCATAAACAGGGCTGCTTCGGGACCCCTTGAGCCGTCTCTGGAGGCTCCCGGGGCTCACTGGGAACCCACGTGCCACCGACCGGGGGCACAAACCTGAATCGCGAAGCGAGGTGTGCCTCACCATGCCGTGAAGCCGATGTGGGAACCAGTCGCATCCAGGCAGATTCGCCTCGAGCACAGCGAATGCCAGGTCCAACGTGCCAGCAGATCGTCCCCCCCTCCAGGAACCAGAGGGCCCTGCAAAGGCCCTGTGGAGGCCTTGGGAAGGCTCCCCGGGCCACTGCGGGGCGCACGCGGGTGGACCGAGCGCACGCAGGGGGTCCATTTTGTATGACGTCGGGCTTCAGCGTCGCCTCCCGCATATGAGTGAGCATCACCAGAGCCTGCTGCCACTGGTCGCCCTTCGCGCACGCGCTGATCCCAGCGCTGTAGCTAACTAGGGCTGACCAGTGGACTCCGTCCTTGTCCACCGGCGTGTCCGGCATGTGCTTGCTGCTGCATGTGTGTGTGTGTGTGCATTGCTTGCTGCTGGTGCGGCTTGCAAACTGTTTGCCTGCTTGTGCTGGCTTGCTGCCTGCTTGCTTGCTTGCTTGCTGCCTGCTTGCTGCCTACTTGCTGCCTGCTTGCTTGCTTGCTGGCTGGCTGGCTGGCTGGCTGCTGGCTGGCGTGCTTGCTGCAGGCTGCATGCTGCGTGCTTGCTGGCTGACTGACTGGCTGGCTGGCTGGCTGGCTGGCTGGCTGGCTGGCTGCTTGCTGCTGCTGCTGCTGCTGCTGCTGCTGCTGCTGCTGCTGCTGCTGCTGCTGCTGCTGCTGCTGCTGCTGCTGCTTGCTGCCGAAACCTGAAATGGGCCCTCCTCAGGGCTGAGTCTGGACCTGCTTGTCTTCTCTGGGGCCTTTAAGCTACCTTGGAGCCCCGACAGGGCCTTCGCTGGGTAAAGGGGCTGTCGGAGGGGACGTCTTGGGCCACCCTGGGACGATATTGAGCCGCCTTGGGGCCGTATGTCGAGTAGGGGATCGACTACAGAACTGACTTACCCCAAAATCGATTTCCTCGTCGAATCCATCAGAAAAAAACACTCAGGATAGTCTGTAGATCTACGAAGCATTGTAGGTATGTTTCGTAGGTTCGACGAAAAATCCATTTGGGGGCAAATCGATTATGTAGTCGATCCCCTGCTCGAGTGGTAGGGTCAAAACTGGAAACTCGGCAGCGCCTGCGCCCTCTTTCCAAGCTGTGCACCATCGTGGTCGTGGCCGCCCAAGGTGGTCGGAGGAGGCGCGCGGGCCGCGCACGCTCGGAAAGAGGGCAGAAGGCACTGCACGGCATGCCTTAGCTCGGTCACGTCCTCCTACAGGCGGACTTCGGAAGAGAAATGAAGCACAGTCAAAACAATCAAATAATGAAAGCAACAGAGCACGGAAAAAAACGTCGCCTGACTATGTGTTTAACTACCCTTGAATATTCCTCCTGTAGAGGGGCACGCCTGACTTACAGCGTGCCCCGAGTGGCTGGCGGGCCCGAAGCACTCTCAGGAAGAGCTCCCAGGAGGACCGCCCATTCGAGCCGGAGCCGCCCCGCCGAGTAGAGCCAACCCGTAGAAGAAGGGCGCGCGATATCAGGGCGCGAAGGCCTTGGACGCCCATGCCGAAGCTGTTCCAGCGGGGCGCGGCCAACCAATGTGGCCAAGGATGGACCTCTGGACCGGGGAGGCCAGGATGCAGGGGCGCCCTTGGGAAGGTTGCCCATCCTTGCTATGCGGAATGACCGTGGAAGAATATCAAACAGCGCATGGGTGCCTTCTTATTCTGGGTGGCCGGCGAGGTGCCAGAGCTCTCTAAGGGATCTTCCCTCGGAAGCTTCTTGAAGGCGTCTCTAGGGGTGTCTTGGAACCTGTCGGGGGCCTCACAAGGAGCCTGATTTGAGCTTCCGGGGGGCTTCTTGGGGGTCTGCTGGCGGTCTCGGTGGTCATCTTGGGGCGAAGGGCGCGAAATGTCAGCTCGACTTCCCCCTCTCGGGGCCCTCTTGGGGCCCCTTGAAGCCGCATTGGGCCGTGTTGGGGCCTCTTGGGCCGTCTCGGGGCCCCCTTGGGCCGTCTGGGGACCTTCTTGGGGGCATGTTGGGCCATCTTGGGGCGACATTGGAGGCCTCTTGGGCCGTCTTGGGGCGTCGGAAGCCTAAAAGGTGACGCGTCAAAACCCTCCGAACACCGAAGGAAAATCAATAATTTGGGACTCTCGGGGCCCCCCTTGGGAGGCCTCTTGGAGCCCTTTGGGGCCGACTTGGGGCCCAACTCGGTCGTCGTCGGCTGTACGGGCGACATCTTGGACCGCCTGGAGGCGCCTTGGGCCATCGTGGACCGTCTTGGGGCCCTCTCAGACCGCCCTGCCCTGGGGAGGGCCAGGGAGCGCGCCAGGGCTGGCAGGGCCTGTCCATCGCTCTGACGTCAATTCCCTGTGCTTTCTTCGGTTTCGTGTGTGGCTTTATCGCCAAATGATCCAGGATGCGCCTCGACGGTCCTCGCCGAGGAAAACATGCACACGTCCGAGCGATGCCAAGGTGAAGGGGCCCTTGGACACACAAATAAATACACACAAATAAAAAGACTCCCCATATTTTCCCATATTTTCTGGGTTTCCCATCTTTTCCCCTATCTTCTGGGGAATGGACGATGACTTGTGTCTGTGTGCTTCTTTCCCTCCTGACAAGGGGCCGATGACAGGTGACCTGAGCGCCCAGCCTTCCCTCCGCCCCCGAGGGGGAGCTGCACGCAGCGCGGCTCGAGGCACGTGCGCGGACGAGGGGCGGGCCAGGGAGCGCATGGAGACACGACGAGGGGGCCTGGACATCCAGGGAGACGCCGTGGCCCCAGCCATGATACCCCCCAATTCCTCCCTAGTCTTATGTCGGGCATGTCCCCCTACAGGGGGATTTTCGACGAAAGATAAAAAATACCCTAAAAATATCCCAAGAAGGCCAAAAAATACTCAAAAAATAATCCCCAGACTATTTTTGGACTATTTTTTTACTATTGTGGGGGTATTCTATATTTTTCGTCGAAAATCCCCCTGTAGGGGGACAGGCCCGACATAACCCTAGTCATCACCCCCCTCTCTTGACCGCCCCCGAGAACAGACGGGGCACAAGCTCGGGGGAGGTTTCTCACAACACCAGTGCACGGGCCAGCGCCGGCTTGCAGGCAGCCGCGCATGAGCGAGGGCGAGGCGATGTGGGCTTGCACCACTTAGCTTGCACGGCATAGCTTGCACCTGACAGCCTGCGGCACGCGAAGGCAAGCCCGAAGCATTAAACAGCACGCAAGGTGTGAGAATGCCTCGGGCGAAGCCGGGCCGACACCAGGCCAATCGCGATGATGTCTCAAGCGAAACTGCGCACAAACTGGGCGCAACCAGGGAAATCGGGCAAGGAAGTCTCAGGCGGAATGGCACCAGAACCGATTCAGACCACGGCGACCGTGACTGCTCCTCAGGCCAAGCCGCGCCGAAACCAGAACAGGCAAATGGCGAGGAGGTCTCCAGCGAAACTTCGCCGAGACGAAGACTGACTACGCAAATTGCGAGGATGTCTCGAGCGAAACCGCGCCGAAACCAAGACAAGCGAGGTAAATTGTGAGGACGTCACAAGCGAAACTAGCTCCCAACCAGGCCAAGCCAAGCAAATTCTGAGGATGTCTCAGGCGGGGCACCCTGCCAAACCAGGCGAAACCAAGCCAAACCAGGCCAAACTGGTGCCCAAGTGCCCAAGCCTAGCTCCATCAACAATCCTCAATAAAATCAAAACGAGTGGATGGCCCCAAGGGGTCGCACCCCAGGGGTCGCACCCCAGGGGGTCCTGCAATTAGTCCAGAAAGGGGCGGAACAGCAAGCATTTGTTTTTCGTTTGTTGCTCAGGCTTCGGTGTGGAACTCGGAGGAAGATTCCTCAGCCTGTGGCTTGTAGCCGTGAAATACATCCACGGAGATGACTTCACGGAGCCACCTTGGGGCCTTCGTGGGCTGGCTGGAAGCCCTCCTGGGGCTTCTCTGGGGAGAGGAAAGACAGGAACGCAAAACCGCAGAGACGCAACTTCTCGATGGGTCCTCACTCCGAAAGCTGATGCTTTGTGCAGTCTTAGTCCTCCGCCGAGGAGAGCGCGAGGCAGAAGGAGCCGGGAGGGAGCAGCGACGAGGAGGAGCGAAGACTCGGCGGTGGACAAACCTCCCTTTAGTAGACCTCCCCTTAGTGAAAACGGCCTGGGACCGAAACCAACGCACCTGGACCCGCAAAAGTGACGGCCGCGACGCCCTCTCGCGAACCGAAAACGGCCAATTCCTCAATCGGCGCGTCAGGGTAGGAAGTCTGTCCATCCCCGAAAGACGTGACGGCGAGGGAGGCGGGGAGCGAGGGCGGGGGCGGAGGCGGCCAGAGAGGCCCGCGCGGAGACGCCCTGGGGGCGCTCCCGGGGCGCCCCCGCGGCGCGGCCGGGACGCTCTCCTGGGGTTTCTTTGGGCCCGTGGGCCACGTGCAGGGCAGTTTTTAATACATCGGGTTTTTAAACATATTGGACTTATACATGATAAATTCATGAACAAATTAATGCATGAACTCATCGTTGTTTTGAGTACTAAGGCCCTGCATTCTTAATGCATGATCCGCACGCGGAGCATGTATTAAAAACGGCACTGTACAGTCGGCCTCGATTGGACAGGACACGCGAGAGGACGCAAGACCCTTCCGAGGGCCGCACTGCCACGGGAATGCAGGAATCATGGGTCGCGAGGCACAGGACACAGGGGTGCCCTTGATTCGGCAGGGTCGACCTACCAATCTGGGCCGACGGTATCAACAAAAAAAACTGCATACCGGTAAAATGTTGGAGCTCCACGCGGATTTTTTGGATCGGCGCTGTGGCCCCCTGACGGCGCCTCTGGCGACACCCCTGGCGCGTTCCGCGCGCCGGGGAAGGGGGTCCAGCGCCGATCCAAGAAATCAGCGCGGCCCTCCGAAAATCTATGTCTATGTCATTGCTGGTTCCTCGAACATAGCTTCATATCCTCCTGAGCCGCTTGTCGCCCCTTGGCCCGCGCCTCTGGGCAGCAGTTTCCGGGGGCCGTCTGGGGCCCGTTCGGGGGAGCCCTGGGTCCAGTGGCCTCAACTTAGCAGTAGTCTGCTTGCGCTTCAGCTCACTTTGAGTCGAGTCTCCTCCTCAGTTTTCCGGCCGCTGCATGTCTACGCTTGGGATCACCGTTCCTCTAGCACACCACGTATCGTTGTTTGCACCCTGCAGTGTGCGACGTCTCGCCCTCCCTCCGGGGCCTACGAGGAGAGGGGGGAAATCGCAGACGCGCACAAAATTAGCCTGGCGAAGGACCCAACCATATGCTGTTGTGAAAATACTGCAATTGTGAATGCCATCTTGGCCCGCGCTCCCTATGTGGCCACGGCTTTCCGCCGGAGCCCGACATGCTCAGGGACACGTTCGTGGCCGTCTTCGCGGGCGCCGACGACGACAAGGACGGCGTCCCTCTCACCGAGGAGCAGAAGCAGGAGAAGGCCTTGAGAGCCATGAGGGAGGAGGTGGCGTTGCACGTCGACAAGGCGGAGTACGACGCCCAGGCGCGGTTGTTGAAGCAGCACAACTATGGGGCCACGATTCTCGTGAGGGATGTGCCGCAATGGCCCGGGGCCGCCATGCGAACCCTGCCACTGGGGGCCTTCGGTGGAGCTCCCTATGGGGCCACGATCCTCGTGAGGGGTGTGCCGAAATGGCCCGAGGCCGCCCTGCGAACCCTGCCACTGGGGCCTTCGGTGGAGCTCCCTATGGGGCCACGATCCTCGTGAGGGGTGGGCCGAAATGGCCCGAGGCCGCCATGCGAACGCAGCCACTGGGGCCTTCGCTGGAGCTCCCTATGGGGCCACGATCCTCGTGAGGAGTGTGCCGAAATGGCCCGAGGCCGCCATGCGAACGCAGCCACTGGGCGCCTTCGGTGGAGCTCCCTATGGGGCCACGATCCTCGAGAGGGGTGTGCCGAAATGGCCCGAGGACGCCATGCGAACGCAGCCACTGGGGCCTCCGGTGGAGCTCCCTATGGGGCCACGATCCTCGAGAGGGGTGTGCCGAAATGGCCCGAGGCCGCCATGCGAACGCAGCCACTGGGGGCCTTCGGTGGAGCTCCCGAAGGGCAACGATCCTCGTGAGGGGTGCCGAAATGGCCCGAGGCCGCCATGCGAACGCAGCCACTAGGCTCCTTCGGTGGAGCTCCCTATGGGGCCACGATCCTCGTGAGGGTGTGCCGAAATGGCCCGAGGCCGCCATGCGAACGCAGCCACTGGGGCCTTCGGTGGAGCTCCCTATGGGGCCACGATCCTCGTGAGGGGTGTGCCGAAATGGCCCGAGGCCGCCATGCGAACGCAGCCACTGGGGCCTTCGGTGGAGCTCCCTATGGGGCCACGATCCTCGTGAGGGGTGGGCCGAAATGGCCCGAGGCCGCCATGCGAACGCAGCCACTGGGGGCCTTCGGTGGAGCTCCCTATGGGGCAACGATCCTCGTGAGGGGTGGCGAAATGGCCCGAGGCCGCCATGCGAACGCAGCCACTGGGCGCCTTCGGTGGAGCTCCCTATGGGGCCACGAAACGCTGTACTGGGTGGGTGAAACGCAAGGAAGGCGGGGAGGATGGAGGAGGAGGAGGAGGAGAGGAGAGGAGAGGAGAGGAGAGGAGAGGAGGGGAGACGCGGGCCACCGTCTCTTCAAAACGAGGACCCAACACCACAGGATGGTTGGGAAAAACCTGGAGATTTGGGGCGCTCGTCGCCGCCCAGGGGCAGCGCTCCGCGGACGGCCTGGGGGCGTGCTGGGGCCGCAGCGACCGTGCTGCCGCGAGGAGCGCCGCACGAGGACCGAAGGAGCTCGCTGGCCACGGCGGGCCTTGGCCGCGAACAGGTGCCCCCACCTGGATCTAACGAACGGCCCGCAAGCCGCAGCGCCTTCGCCTGAGCCCAGTGCGGCCCTCGCTCCAGCGTCAGGACGGTGCTGGCGCTGGGCCATCTCCGGGCGTCCCTGGGCCTCCTCTCTCTCTGGGGAGCCTCGCGCGGGTCCCCGGCACGCACGGGACGGTTCTCGCGAGCCGCCTGCGGGCCAGTCGGGCCGTCCTGGGGTCCTGCTCGAGGGGTCCCAGGAAGGTGCGGTGACGGGCCGTGCGGTCACCTCGAAGGCCCCGAAGACCTCGCTGCACGGTCCGTCACCGCACGGCTCGGAGATCCACGAGGCCCCCGCCGCACGAGAGACGTCCTCGGAGAGCGACCCAAGTCCCTGAAACCCATGCGTTCGCCCCGCGACCCAAGTCCCTGAGCCGTGCGCGCTCACCCCGGCTCCCCAATGACTCACCCCCTCGCCATCGCTCGGACGTTCGTTTCCCCGTGCATGTTTCGATTCCGTGCGTGCATTTGTTTCGTGTCTATGCCTCGCTGGATAATCCAGGGTGCTCATCGATGGTCCCCGCCGAGGAAGAGGTGCACACGTCCGCGCGATGCCATAAGCCACACGGTGTGATCTTCGCACCGCTCGGGGCCTCTCCGGGAGGCCGCAGGGGGGCCCCGCGGCCTGGCCCCATTGGCCCAAGGACTGCTGGCCCCTCTTGGTGCCGCACGCATCACGACGGGCACTGCATCTTGCCATCTCCAGAGCGGTTGCAAAGCTGGCCTCAAAGGTCGTGCATGTCCCCTGCGGGCGGATCTGACGAAACATTACAGATACTCCAACAAATACTCCAAGTGATTCAGCGCTTCTCCTCAAGAAAAGATCGTCCCCAGACTATGTCTTTACTATTCCTGAATTTTCCCTCTGTGGAGGGGCGGGCCCGACTGAAGCCGAGCCGCCCGTGTGCTCCCCTTGTGGCCGAGAACCCAGCTTGATTGGGTCCCGTTGGGGCCGAAGCCCAGGGCCGACAGAGGCCCCTCTCCGCCGGGCCGCGAGCGGATCCCGGCGGGTAGCCCGCCTCGGACCGTCTGGCAGTGCCCGTGCTGCCCTCGTGGGTCCCCCTCCATGGCGAAACCATCCACGGGGCAGGTGTGCGCAGCACGTGAGAGTCCGGCCTTTCACACTCAGGGCCCTGGGCCATAGATGTGTGGTCATGGGCTGCAGCGGCGAGAGTTCCATACGCAGATGCCAGGCTTGAGGTGCCCTAACGTCGGGGGAGCGTTTCGACAAGCTGGGCAAGCATTGCGTTCCTCTCGCCGTGCCGCACAAGTGTATGTTTCTGGAGAGCGTTCGGCCAGGGACTCCACCCCGAGAGGGTCGGGGTCACAGCCGATCTCTGCACTTGTTGCCCCATGATGTTCCCCAGATGATGCAGGATGCTCCTCGGTGGTCCTCGCCGAGAAAAAATGCGCACGTCCGAACGATGCCAAGGCATGGATGACGGTGGGCTCCAGCTTCGCCTCACACATCTCGCTGAGCAGCGCTAGAGCCCGCTGCCACTGCTTGCCCTTCGCGCACGCGCTGATCCCAGCGTTGCGGGCGACTACGTAGAGCGAACCCATGAATAAGATACGCGGAACGCGCATGAAGCGAGTGTTCAGGAGCCCAGGACAAACACCTGCCCCCAAGGGAAGGTATTGCAAAACGAACGCGAAGCTGGGATGGCTTGAAAAGAGGTCGTACCGAAGCCGGCACCCACACCCAAGCGGGAAACCACATCGGGGCCCAGCAAGCACTAGAGGGGACAAGCTCTGGAACGAGATGCCAGGCGCGGAGCGCATGAAAAACCAAGCCCCACATCACCTGGAACACTGATGGCGTCAGAGAGGGATCGCCCCAACCAGCACCCTAGGATAATACCAGAGGATGGGGGCCTTGAGCGCCACTTTGGAGCACCCCCTCGAAGGCCAACGTTGTCCCAGGAAGTGCGGATTGCAGTCGAAACATGGCAGCAATGACGTCGATCAAGAGCACGAGTTCCTGCGTCAAAGGCCCAAGGCCCCATGGAGGTACACGTAACGAGCAGCATTCAGAGGTGGAGGACCCAAGCCCGAAAAATATAGGGATACCCCTCCGAAGCTCGTGTGGTTCGTACCCCCCCCGTCACGGCCGCATAGTGCACCGACTTGCACGGCGATTGTGACCAGTCCATCTAAGACGCACTGGACCTGGAATAATACAGTCGGACCTAAGACAGAAGAACACCTCTCAAGAACATGAGACCCTCCAACGGCCAAAGCACCCCAAACCATAAGATCACTCGAGGGTGCCCTCCCCAAGGATGCACCAGAACACCCAACAAGCACGAAGAACATGAGGGTACCTTTCGCGAACCAACCTCGATCTTATACCTCGGTCCGACCGTAGTCTGGATGACGTCCGGCTCCAGCTTCGCCCCCCACATCTGACTGAGCAGCGCCAGAGCCCGGTGCCACTGTTCGCCCTTCTCGCACGCGCTGATCCCAGCGCTGTAGCTGACGACGCCTGGCTCCAGCTTCGCCTCCCACATCTCGCCAAGCAGCGCCAGAGCCTGCTGCCACTGCTCGCCCGTCGCGCACGCGCTGATCCCAGCGCTGTAGCTGACTGGTGCGAACCCGTGGCTCAATTCCTGGTGAGCAGAACCATTATCTGGCTCACAAGTGGGGTCACACGGCGACGCGGATGGATGAGGAAGGCGGCATCCACACTATACGTGGAAGGATGAGTGAGCAGGAAGAGCAACCTACACGGGCAGGAGGACGGTGAGGGAGAAATGAGGCAACGATAGGCAGGGGAACGACTGGAGATCGAGAACGAGTGCAACTCATCAGAAGACTAAGAGACGTGGGAGTGCGAAGAACAATGAGAAGCAGAGAGCGGAGAACCACGAACGGAGGCGGCGGAGCACCAGCAGGAGCAGCAGGGGCAGGAGCGCTGCCCAGAGCGCTCTGACAGCGACTCGGCGTTGGGCCAAGATGTCATGCGGTGGGCATGCATGCTTGGCGACCTCTGCGGCCTCGTGCAGAAAGCTATGACGAGCTCACCTCGGCGCTCCCACATGCTCCCGGGCGCCCCCGGGCCTTCCCGGGCGCTCCCGAGCGGTCCCAGGCGCTCCCAGGCGCTCCCAGGCGGTCCAAGGCGGCCCCTGGCGCTCCCAGGCGCTCCCCTGGGCGCTCCCCTGGGCGCTCCCAGGCGCTTCGGAGCCCCAGCCCGAGAGGATGACCCAGCTCGGCAGGGGCACGCGACGAGGACGCCCCACGAGCCCCAGCACAGACGCCCCACGAGGGCCCACGGGCGCTCCTCCGAACACACACACACACACACACACACACACACACACGCAGCAACAGCCGCAGACGGCATCAGGAGATCCCGCGAGAGGGCCCCCCGGAGGCCCCACCAGAGAGCCCCCCAGAGGGGCCCCCAAGAGGAAGCCCCAGGAGGGGCCAGCGCTTGCCCTCAGGGGTGTTCTTACTTGTCTCCCTGAAGAACTGGTTCGGCCCGGCGAGGTTTCACCACGTTGCCTTGCCGCCCGTTGCCGCCTCGTCGCCGCCTCGTGCGCTGGGTGGGTCCGGCGAGGTTTCGCCACGTTGCGGCAAGTTGCCGCCTCGTCGCCGCCTTGTGCGCTGGGTAGGTCCAGCGAGGTTTCGCCACGTTGCCGCCCGTTCCTCGTTGCCGCCCGTTGCCGCCTCGTTGCCGCCTCGTCGCCGCCTCGTGCGTTGGGTGGGTCCGGCGAGGTTTCGCCACGTTGCCGCCACGTTGCCGTCTGTGGCCGCCTTGTTGCCGCCTCGACCG